CTATAATAGTACATAAGATCCTAATGAGATAATTGACAATGTGAAATAGGAAGAAAAGGGCTAAAGGAGTCCCAGTCTTAACCGTAAAAATGTTTTACACAAGCACCAGTTATACATGAGTGTTAAAATTTTTTAAAACTTTATTATGGTAAAAGGCACTTTCCAAGGCTGGGGATTTAGCTCAGTGGTTTCATTACCTGCCTCACAAGCGCAAGGGCCTGAGTTCAATCTCCAGTACTCCCCCAAAACAAAACAAAACAAAAAAATATTCCAATTAATCCTCTGCAGAATATTTCCCCTTCCCCTTGTTTTGAATATATTTATCCCATTATTCTTGCCACTTTCTGAAGCAGTTCTGGATGTCATCTTTTGTATCTTTAGCTGTGCTGTCATAGTTCCTCAGGTTAAAATATTTACTTTTCTTGGTCATTTTGACTTTAGGAAAGAGCAAGAAGTCACACAGTGCCCAAATGCAGTGAACAAGGTGGATGTGGACATACTGTACTGCTTTTATTTTATATAAATGGTTGTAAACATCTTGTGTGATTCAGGACATTGAAGCAGCCATGACCAAGCAGCTAAGCACTCATGAAGGATGTCTTCCAGAATGGCTTCACCAAGTGCCAAGAACAATGGGCTAAGTTTGGAGGAAATGAGGGAGAGTAATACGTTAGGTCTGATTACAGGCAGCGTGTCTTTTATTATAGTAAATGTTCTTTTAATTTAAACATTCACCATATATTTTGATTATAACAGGTAAATGATGAACGTGAAGGTAAGGTAGACAGGAGGTACAGTTTATGGTAAAGTTGTGATCTAAGTTATCAAATGACCAATATTTAAATGTAAAATTTGCCACTTATGAGCTTAATATTCTGGGCATATTACTTAACTTATCTGTGCCTCAGTTTCCCAATAACCTTTTTTTCCAAGGACTATTGTGAGGATTTAATGGATTAATTTTTTGCAATGTCTGAAATGCTAAATAGCTGCTACTAATATCATAATACATAATGCAACTTTGTAGCATACACTTCCACATATATTACTACTTATGAAAGAAGCTCTGTAGACTCCTTAATTATAACTTTCATTGATTAAATACTGAGTAATATGCCATAGAAAAATGGAATACTTGGGCACTGTTGAATATTTAAATGGCTTCTAGGTTTTTACAATTATAAATAATACTGCAATGAATATACTTTTAACTTTCTTTTTTTTTAAATCAATGCTGTCTTGTTTTATTTTGATGGATTCCAAGAAATAAGATTACTTTGATCCATTGGCAATTTTTTAAGCTATCTGCTTTATACAGCACAGTGCCTGTCACTAATATTGCTGCCATAGTAAGCAGTTGGCAAAGTTTAGCTGTTATTCGTCTTTACTACACAACAAATCATAACCTTTTTCTGCCACACATAATATTTAATGTCTTCTAGTTAAAATTTCTCAAATCTCCTGCAAGTTATAGTACATGACTGTGATTTTATTGAAGTTACTTTAGCTGGTTTTGTTTTGTTATAAGAGTTTTATTGAAATGTAGTTCACATGCCATAATATTCACACATTTAAAGCATACAGTTCATGATGTTTAGTATAGTCACAGCTTTGGACAAAAATCACTACTTTCTAATTTTAGAACATTTTCACACACACCCCCAAGCTTGTACCCATTAGCAGTAATTTTCTTTTTCTTTTTTTTTCTCATTGTGTTTATTGGTATATTTTAGGTATATAGTACAGTTACATTCATTACTGGGATCTTGTACCTTTACATGACAGGTCTTGGTTCTCATTTTTTCCCCTTGTCCCTGCCCTCCCTTCACCCCCTCCTCCCTTCCCTATTTACAAAAACTTTATTTCCATTTCTTTTGTTTTTTCATATTTTTTCTTGTCCCTTATTTCCTTTCCCCTCCCTTTCCCACTTCCCCTACTCCTTTAGCCCTTTTCTTCCTATTTCACATCGTCAATTATACCATTAGGATCTTATTTACACTTTTAGTTTTTCACACCAGAGAAACTATTTGGTGTTTGCACATGTGTTACTTATGTATTTCATTTGAGCATGACCTCAATATGCATTCATTTTCCTAGCAGTAATTTTCTAAATACCTGTTTCCCGGTTTTAGGAAACTAGTAATCTACTTTCCGTCTTTATAAATGTGCCTGTTCTGAACATTTTATATAAGTGGTTTAATGGTACAGAGGGTCTTTTGTATTTAAATTTTACTTAGTATAATGTTTTTAAGATCAATTCCTGTGGAGTATGTATCAGTACTTCATTAGTTTTCTGGCTAAATAGTATTCCACCTTATAGATACATCACAATTTATTAATTGGGCAGTGGATAGACATTTTGGTCATTTTTACTCTTTAGCTATCATGAATAATGCTGCTACAAATATCTGTGTCCAAGTTTTTGTGCAGACATGTTATTGTTGTGACTTATATGTAGATGTCCCCCAAGACCCTCATGTGCTCAGAGATGGGGCTTTTGAAAGTTAATTGGATTATGCAGTCTTGCTAGTAGGAGCTAGAGCCTGGTTGGAAGAGGTGGGTCACTTAGAGTTATCTCCCTCCTTAGCTCTCTTTTAGTCTTTCTCTCTGCTTCTTGGACACCATGATTTGACCAGCTGCTCCTCTGCTCTCCCCTTCTCCCATGCTGTCCTGCCTTTGGTCTACCAGACTATGGACTGAAACATCTACGAACTGTGAGCCAAAATAAACTTTTCCCCTAAGTTGTAGGTGTTGAATATTTTGCCCCACAATGAAGATAGTAACTAAGACAGTTATAATTTCTTTTGATTATATTCCTAGGATTAGCATTGTTGAATCATATTGTAACTGTATGTTTAATATTTGCAGGAAGTACCAAACTTTTCCAAAGTGGCTGCCTTACTTTATATTTTCTATCAGTATTGCACAAGGTTAGCTCTTTTTCCACATCATTATTATTTATTGTCTGTCTCTTGATAATAAAGCCACCCTAGTAGGTGTGAAGTGGTATTTAATTGTGTTTTTGTTTGGGGTGTGTGTGTGTGTGTGTGTGTGTGTGTTATTTTGATATTGTTGTTTTATTTGTTTTGTTTTGCTATACTGAGGATTTAGCACAGAGAATTCTGAGCTACATCTGCAACCTTGCTGTACAATTTTTATTTTGAGACAAAGTCTCTCTATATGTCCAGGCTAGACTTGAACTTGAGATCTTTTTGCCTCAGCCTCCCAGAGTGCTGGAATTATAGTCATACACCAGTACACCAGCATATTGTAGTTTTGATACACATTTCTCTAATGATTAATGATTTTGAGCATCTTGGGCATTTGCATATGTTTAGTGGATAAATATCTGTTGACATCCTTTGCTCATGTAATTGCATTTATCTTTGTATTAATGAGTCTAAATGTTTTAAATATATATAGGAAATGAATCTATTATATATATAATTACAAATCTTTTTTTGTCATTTTGTAGGCTCTTAATTTTCTTGATAGTATAGACTTGAGTTACTTTCTAATGTCCTTTCAAGTCAGACTGAAGGATTTCTTTTAGTATTTCTTATTGATCTGTCAGTAGTGAATTCTGTTTTTATCTGAGAATGTCTTAATTTATATATAAAGTTCTTGGTTGACAATTTTTTCTTTCAGTACTTGGAGGATGTCATGCTTTTTGGACTTAATAGTTTCTGATGAGATGTCACTTATTGAGGGTACCTTGTGTGTTTATCTTTTGTTGCTTACAGGTGCTGTCCTTGTTTTTGGCTTTCAATAGCTTGCCTGTGTTATGTCTAGGTATGGGTCACTTTGCTGTTGGTTTTCACAGCTGCTGTGGTTGTGGGATCACTGATTTTCAGGCATGTTATGGATTTATGGGGTGGTGTAGAGAGTAGATCATTACAATGCAGGAACTGTTGTTCTTATGAAGGTTTGTAGTTTCATTGAGTAAATGTTCCTCAGGTTGTTGCAAAACTTTTGTTTGTTTGCAAAGTTCTAGGACATCTTATTTCAGTAATATCTGTTATTGCTTTTTTGGAGGAATGGATTTATGATGGGACTCATCTTCCGTCTCAGAAGTCCTGTTTTACCTATTTTTGTCTTTACCTTACTTTCTTCCTTTTAATTCAAATTTCTCTTCCTCTATTAAAGTCTCCATTTATATCTGTGATTTTTGTAATCATAGAAGATTAATAAG